CTATAAAGTCGTTTAATTATTTCCTTAGAACTAAGTGGCTTTTAGCCTTAACTCTATTTAGTTCTCCAGAACTAAGAGGCTTCCAGCCGAAAGTCTTCCTCTGGCTAAAGAGCTGTGCAGCTCCGCTACAACGCTAAACGGTCGGCAGGTTCTGGCAACGCCAAAATAGGATCATGAAGAAGGCTGGCCTTCACCGCTTGAAAAGCGTCCTTGTGTTCGGCATGCCAATACCATTCTACATCCTTTACAGAAAGATTAGATAATAGCTGGGTCATACCAGCGTAGTTCTCTCTGTATATATGCAAGCAATTATCAAGGCCAATCCACTAATTTATGTCCTTTTGAGACGGCCAATCTACTACGGCCTTCACCTTGACGGGACCACGTGTAGGCCTCGCTTTCCAATAAAGCACCCAAGAAAGGATTTTTTTTCTTAGCACCGAAGATGCATTTAGATGCATTATCATACAGCTTATTAGTGCTCATGCACTCGATTACCGAGCTTAAATGAACAATATAGTTCTCAATATCCGATCGACCATGTTTGGCACGACTATGGACAAAAATGTCATCAAAGTACGTCTGCGCATACCCCCGGTGGGATTGGAACAATTACTTCTCTAAACGTTTAAGCGTAGCAGGCGCGTTTGATAACCCCTGGGGCATAACCAGCCATTCCCAAATCATGTACTAACCGCTGTGAGCGAAATATTGCTAGCTTGCATGAGCAATTGGTACTAACTTTCGACTAAGTTGAGCGCACTGTACATGGTACATCCAGCCATATTGTTCTGAAGAACATTCTTTTAGGAATCGGTATCTGTGCAGGTATAGTGGGTGCATTGAGCTTATTATAAGCATGAACGATACGCCACTTACGATTGGGTTTCTTAACACAGAAGGTTTGTGTCGAGCGCGTAGATTTTCTCTCGCGCACCATACCCGCCGCGAGCTATGCACGAAAGAACTCTTCAATGATGTCACACTGTTCTGTGGGTAAAGACCACTGCCGTGTTACGCAGTATTTAGTTCCAGGAACCAAGTCAATCTACCCCTATCAGTAGGTAGAATAGACGGTGAATCATGGCAATACCACATCTTGAAATTATTTATGAAATGAGTAGTAGGAATCCAAAAAGTTCTTAAAGATAGGTGATCAACTACGTACACTGATCGCCACCTTCATATGTTCGTAAAATGTCTTATCCACAAGTGATGATGAGTTCAACTAGAGGTCAAATCGAATGACTACCATATCGGATAGATAATTAGCCTTCAAATCTTGGTGAAATTCATCCACAGACATTTCGTCTATCTCCAAGAGAGCATGGGAGGGGCTCAAGGTCAACTTCACAATCTACATTACCTGTCACACCGTTGACCAGGGTGTACAGATGTTAACTGACACCACCACGTGATAAACAGAAGCCTTGCGCGTCGCAGCCAACATCTGGAGACGCTGACGTCTCATTGACGAGACCGACCCATTTGAAGTGCTCGGGAAATCATTCCAAAGGTCGTTGGTCTCCTCGACCTCAACCTGATTTATACGAAATCCGATGTCATTACCGACATCCAGTGAGTCATTTACACATGTGACATCACTAAAAAGGTCTTCGACCTTAACTTGCTCTATACGAGAGCGGATGTTATTACTTACATCTAGTGAGTCACTATCGCAGGTGACATCACTAACAAGGTCGTCGACCTTAACTTTCTCTATACGAGAACCGATGTCATTACCGAAATTCAGTAAATCACTAACAAGGTCTTCGACCTTAACTTGCTCTTTACAAGAGCCGATGTCATTACCGACATCCAATGACTCAATTTCAATATGAGTATCACTTAACGGAGTACGTGGCGTTCCACTAAGTGTCACTGAGCTATTCTCGACACCATTCCTGTTAACGTTGGAGTTTATCAACTCAGACAATCCAATGTCCAGCACACTAACTGACTCAGTTAATGGTTCGCGCCGATAGAGATTCTGTTGCTAGCTTCGCTAGGGACATTGCGCATGGTGCCTAAGATATTAGATCTCCAATCGATCCACGGCTCATGGCGTTCCGACCAAACCATACCGAGAATGAGGTCATATCTCGAGTCCAAATCTAGGACAAGACAGCGTTCAATGCTATTGAAGTCTAAGAACTTCACACCTAAGTTCAACGGAACTTTAGGAACGGTGACACGTACACCGGTCGCGAGACGTACGGTTATACTGTCACCCTCTTGCGCTTCTAGCGCCTCAGCATACAGCTGACTCCCCTCAAGGGAGCGACGTCGGACATAATTCCCTGACACCCCTGAGTCAATTAAAATTGACCATGGATTCTCAAAGCTTTTAACGGTTGCCGACACAACCAACAAGCCTGGCTTGTAATTTTGTTCTATGGGAGCATCCACAGAACCACCTGGGGCTAAGCCCTGTTTACCTTTACCTCCTAAAGATTCAACAGAACTTAGTTCTTTCCCAGTAGGGCGCCCCACGCCTACTGGGAGTTGACGTTTTCCCCTGCGGTGCTCGCCTTTTGGCCAGGAGAAGGGTTACGGCTTTGCCGATTTGAACGTTGCTTTCGCAACAGACAGCTAGGGAGGAGATGCCTAGTGCTTCCGCACATAACACTCTACGGATGTTACCTTACTGCTCAGCAGCTTGATGCTCATCTTCTTCAGCATGGCTGAGGTTCATGGGTTCCGCCCTGTTAGAGACATTTGAATTATTCCATGGCACACCATAGCGAGCAGATCCGAGATTAAATTCAGCGTTAAACGCTATGCTCACTGCCTCTTCGAAATTCGAGGGCTGGACACGAAATCTCTTTCATCCTAGCGACCCCAGTACGAATTTCTTCCATATAATTGGTTACTCGGACTTCTTCTGCCAGAGGGTCCTGCTGCATAGCACCAATGAGAGTTCTCAACTCTTGGACATAGTCCGACAAATCTTTCTTACCCTGTCGGGTAGATTAGAAGCGTGAGCGCACAAGATAAGCCTGATTAGGCGGTGCAAACACGCAAGTTAATTGCTTTTTAAGCATTTTCCACGTGGGAAATGCGACATTTACAGAGACAGCGCTCGTTAAAACCCATTCTCTAGCTCTTACACCGAGCTTAGAAATGGTCAGCCCAACTCTTTGCTTCTCTGACACGAGCAAGGCGGCATCGATTGCCATATCAAGCTCTCGGATCCAGAGGAAAAGATTTTCTCCCTCCTTCTCCTTATAGGTTTTAACGTTTACTACGAGTGGACGAGCCTTTGACTCTGCATCGAGCACAGGAACCGGGATGTATTGCGTTGGCGCAGCTGATGCTGCCTGGTGGTGGACCTGCCCGAGTAGCGTTGCCTCATGACGCATGGAGGCCTTAAGGCGAGCATTGAGGAGCTCCAGGCCCTGGGCCAAAAGAGCCTAAATTTGATCGGCTTAACAAACGCATAAAATTTATCTAGCGCGATTCGTTGCGCCTTAGAGAGGTGATTTTGACTTTTTATATTCACAGAGTGTCAGTCTTAGAGAATCAGGTGTAGGATTGACTACAAGTGCTATTAAGTGTAGCGGAGTTACACAGCTCGAAAGTCAGAGGAAGCCTTTTTAGGCTGAAAGCTTCCTAGTTCTATAGAACTAATCGTAGCTGACGGCTTAAGCCACTTAGTTCTACGGAATTAATTAAACGACTAAGAAGCCACCTTGTTCTAAGGAACTAAGAGGGACTTCTAGTCTACAAGCAATAGCTCAATGTTCAAAGAACCAACGCTCAGAGTGCAAGAGCTTAAGCTATGCCTACGGTTAAAGGAACTAACGCACAAAATGCACAAGAGAACAAGTCTTAGATAGACTTAGGATCTTTAACTCAAAATGAATACTAACCTTATTGATGCATTAAGACCTAATGAATAATCCTACATTAGGTACCCTACACTAGATTAATTACTATTATTGTAATTATAGTATGCCATCGTCTGTATCTGGATAAGGAATCATCAAATCATCAGTGCTTAGTACTACTGTATCAGTTATGGAACCGATATCGATAGTATAAGGTACTACTGATACCTTTTAGTATCACTCATACACAATACCCCTTTTAAAAAAGGATCGGTACTAAGAATACATTATATGCAATATAGAAGCTTCAACTGTGATGTACTTTCGGTATGATGTTCCAATCGTCGTGTAACCCCGTAACAGCTTATTTCCAAAATACTAAGTACGATAGAACTCAACAGAATTGAACAGAATTTTTAATTACTAAGCTTTAGCTTGTTTGACTAAAGAGTCTCATCGTAGTTCCTTAGAACGGTTCGACTCTTTGAGTCGTTGTCTTTAGTTCAATAGAACTAAGTGGGTGTTAGCCGTAAGTCTTCCTTCTCCTAAAGAGCTGTGTAGTTCTGCTACAAAATCAGGTTTAATATATGAGTGTAAGAGTTAGAGCCTTTGTAGTAAGGTTTGTACTATTGGGTATTTGGCCGTTAGGATTCTAATGTTTTGTTGAAAGTGCAAGTTGCACTTGGTATACATGGAATGTTGGAAGAGGTTCGAGTGGTTCTTACTTGTAGTTGTACAGAGCCACTGACAAGGCTCTGGAGTGAGCCGAATTGCGTCTGGCACGTGGTGCATTCAAGTTTTTTGGTTGATTCTTACTTTTTTGAACTAGTGATTCTTTGAGTCGCACGTTTCCTTTGACGTTTGAGCTGTAGCAGCTCTGCTACACATCCAGTCAAGTGTGCGCATTTTATCCTTGGACTAGGCTAACGGACCCACTTACGTGTCATTGGAGGTGTGCCACCGTGACAGAACGAGAAGCGACAAAGAAAACGATGGTAGTAGATGAATAAGGGCGTTGCCACAACCAGAAGATTATGTACATAGTAACACATCTAAACAAGAATCACTCAAAAATCTATTCCATACGTGTAGGTTCTCGACGGCAGACAGCTATACCATCACAGCTTGTCGCTGCTATTTACATTGTGCGACCGACTCGATTGCTCGCTATTACAATCTCAATCGCTCAGGCAAACTCATTTTTAACGCGAGTGACGTTGACACGATCGGCCAGATGCGTCTGAGCATCTTCAGTTGTGCGGAGCGCGCGGTTGTGATGTCCGTAGCTGCTCTGACCAGCAGGAATCACAGTGCCTGGCATCTGCTTCTGCGTCTGCATCCCCGAGTTGTTCATAATAGGCACGCACTGCTTGTAGACCTGCCACTTGATCTCGTGAAGCGCCAGCCAGTAGAATCGCAAGATGCATTCACCTGAGCACTTGGAGAAGTCAACCTTCACATTGGCTGGGTATCCGGAGCCATAGGTCGCGACACAATCATCCTGGTGGTCGACCATAATGTCATCAATCCAGGCTTCACACAGGCCATGGTGTGAGTCGATAAACCCCGTATGCGCCTGGTCGTTTTGCCACTTCATGACAGTAAGGCCGGATACATCAACTGGTGGAGTGTCCGTGCGAGAGTTGCCACAGGTTGGGGCTTGCTGGTCGATCATGTCTCGTAGTGATTTATAGCCCGTATTAGGAAATGCCGACGTGAAGGTGGCGGTGTTTTCAAGTGGACTACCATCCCACTTGAGACCCCGGAAGGCGCTATTGACGTCGGCTGTAATGCGCGTGACGTAGTCACTTCCAATATTGTTTTTATAAAAGGTGGCACGTGGACTGGAAACGTACCCGTGTGCGTTGACGGTGGTGAAGGCAAATGCAGCCATGGTTACAGTCGCGCAAGCGGCGGAGAAAGTGCGTTGCATTGTTGCGTTGAAGAAGGTGTTGCTCTGGTGATCGATGGCAAATTGAGGAATATTTGAGATCGAAGGTCTTGGTACTTTGGTCAGCAGTGAAGAAACAGCACGTTGTGAAAGTCAAGTACTAGCATTTGGTGGTAAACGACGATCAAACGTTTGACTAAACATGTGTGTATACCAATTCCAGACCATAATCGTTAGCTAGGGTTGGTATAGTGTTAATTGGAGGACGTAGCATTCAAAACAACGAGAATGGCTGCGGACTCTTCAGAAAGCTTGTATAACCTAACGGAATAAAGACAGTCCAAGGTGACAGACGGGACGATTTCAGCTAGTTTTGATGGTTGACGACATCCGTAAGCGTAAGACGGTAATCCCTGCTGCCTCGTCTGATCGCTCACTTCCGTCGGCTTTAAAGCCGCTGGAAGTTAGTCCGTTTTGATTCAGAATATCTACCAGAAGGCAAAGTCACTTTTTGTAGTGGAATTAGTTGCCTCCTTTTTCAATCTTATAATGGGTATACGGCACTCAATAGTCTCTCAGTTGACATCGGTGAAAAGGATACAAAGCTAGCACGTTCGGACTTGCGTCGGAAAATTGTCGTCTGAGCATATGTCGCATCAAAAAAAACAAGTGTCGTTCGGACATATGTCGTGTCGGAAAAAAGGTTCGTTCGGGCAAATGTTGCATCGAAAAAAGTGTCTTGTTAGGACGATGAATCGCGTCGAATCGTGGGATCCTTGTGCTCGTCGTAATTGCGCTCGAGGTAGTCCACATGCACAAATGCGCGTTCTACATTGTCTAGCTCCTCTATTTTGTCCTGCAAGCTGAGGCTGATGTCATGGGCGTCCTTGACACACATATCCTCCGGCAGAATGACTTCCATTTCCACAAGGTAATTGCTGCCGAAGTGATACGCTCGCACAATATCGGTCCTCATCATTGGGTGATGAACATCGCCAAGCAGGCGGATTTGATCAATAAACTCTTGATCGGCCTCTGCATTAGACAATCACCACGTGGCGTCAAAAAGAGACGTGCACTTACGTGCTTTACAACGGCCAAAAAATAACGTACGCAGACCAACGAGGCGCTCCACTTGCTCCTTTCCTGTTGCTAACCAACTGACGGCAATGTACACGGAGATTACGATAGCGCCAATCGAGTCGAGATACCATAGACTTGAGTGCATGTGAGCGGCAAAGACAGCTGCCACCGCAACGGTATTGCTGAAGACGTCGTTGCGGTGGTCCTGTAGCACGCGCAGCACGGACACCAGTAACCAGATGTGTGTTACAACAACGGTGCGTTAACTGAACATTGAGATTGAATAGAGGAGGAATCTTACCTGTGCCAAAGCATCAGCTGAGGGTGAATGCAATGCAATCTTGGCACAGAGGTACCAGAGTACGAGCTTGATTACAATGGCAGCAAGCAGTACAACCATCGTAAAGGTCGAGATCTCCAGCTCACGCTGTTTGCCATTGAATCCCTTGACTAGAGCTTCTACCGACTGCTGGATCACTTCAATTGCTACGAAACCGCAATTACTATCAGTGTAATTGCTACCTCTCTTCAAAATTTCAACAGCTTCTTACCTGCCATGCCCATGAGAGTAGCTGATACAATCACTGCAATAGGCTCGAGACGTCGTCTGCCGGCCGGGTACTTGACGTCTGGCGTGTGCATCCGCTTGTCCGAATACCAGAAGAGACCCTGAGACGTGAGGTCCAAGATCGAGTCTACCAGAGATGACAGTACGGCCAATGACCCACTCATCAAGGCCGCATAAATCTTCACAATAGCGAGAGCCTGATCAAACAAATCTCAAACGTGACGACTAATTAGTTGATACTATCTTTTCTTATACACCATGGCCAGTATCGGACAGTGAGACGCACTACATTGGCTGCAAGTGACACGTTAATAGCGACCTGCACACGAACCATCGATCCCGATGGAGACTCTAGACGCTTGGCATTTCCATCCGCCTCCTTTTTGAGCAGAAATGCATGCGACACCTGCGATCGACGGTGCCGTTCGTCTACTTTGGAGCCCCCTGGGTTCGATGTTATTGTCAATGATCCATAACCATTTGGTAGCTGTGGACTGCGCTGTAGCGACGGAGAAATGAGTGATGAGGACTCGGCCATTGGACAGATTCAAATAACGCTGGCATGTAATACTGGTTCATGGACATTAATACTACTTTTCAATGATTGGGTCCATACACACTTTACTATACGTTCAATAATTATTCACAAACTACTATCAGATACACAAAGTAATTCAAAGTACTACTACTATAAGCGGTATATTACTCATATATATATCAAATTACTACTATTGGTCTCCAGCCATTTCAAATGTTTGTGTTTACACGCATCTCAGACGTGATTCCAGTGGCACCGGAGCTTTTTGATGCTGACTATACGCAAGTGTTGATTGAGGAAATTGACCGTAAATATGCCAACAAAGTCATTACAGACGTGGGACTTTGTATTACACTCTATGACTTTGTAAGAATTGGCGACGCATTCGTCCATCCATCAGATGGTACGTCACACTCGCAGGTGGAGTTCCGCATGGTCGTGTTTCGTCCATTTGTAGGGGAAGTGCTCAAAGGTCGTATCGTGAGCTGTACGGAGGAGCACATTCGTGTTTCGATGGACTTTGTTCAGGACATTATTATCCCGTCGTATGCACTACAGACGCCGTCATATTTGTACGCACAACGAAAAATAAATGTTCGGATAGACGCAAAACCTGTACGACAAAATAATACTGACTTTTTCTTTGCTTTTTCGTTATCCTGTTTTATATGCAGTGATACAACAGAGAGACTGTGGGTATGGAAGTACGCGGAAGGACAAGGTGTGGGTGGGCTGGTTTTCTAGCACGTGACTGTTGAATGACTAAGTGTTGGCTAACCTTTGGTTGATGCTATGCAGAGAAATTCTATATGGACTTGCACGAGGATATCCGTTTCCGTGTGACCAATATCAACTTTACACGTGTGACTAAGACTGCAAAAGGTGGTCTGGCTGTAACTGACCAATGCTGGAACAAATGGAGTAACCATGCTCTCTTTTTCTTTTACAGGCATTCAAGCCACAACGACAGAGGCGACGGAAAAGGCAGAGAAGGACGGTAGTACTGAGGACATGCGGCAATCTTTGGCTCGTCGACGGTCGTCGAGCGTAGATTTGTCGGACAACGACCCAACGCCATCAGCCATTCACATCCTGGTGAGTTCTTTGCGTGTGCTACAGTATTTCTCGCACGCGTTTTTGACATGTTTTTGATGCATCCACATGATTAGGGAACGATCGATGAAGATGGTTTGGGCTTGTCATCGTGGTGGACGAGCTAAGTTCCGAGCAATTAGACGGTTTGTTTCTGGTTAAGCAATGCAAAACACATTTACCCTTTTCAGTTCGTTTGCTTTTCCTGTCTCGGTGTCTGTTGCAGGAGAGGCACCACTTGCTCGACTAGAGTGCTAAATGATGTCGTCCGAAGCAGCTGCCATGGCCTGCAATATGAGGCCGTACTCTGAACGTCCTTCGCCTCATTTTCCAGGCGAAGAGCAGGAGAGAGTGCTAGCAGAGAAAAAAGGGAGACACAGCAGGTGCAAGCGCAACCGAATCACTTATAAGGAGATGCCTTTGATGCAGGAAAATGCAAAAATGCGACTGTAGGGTCTTGCTCGTGGAGCAGCGATTCTGAGCCATTATCATCTTTCTTTATCAACTAGTGATTAAAGTGAGGGTAGCAACGGCTTAACGTGATTCATATCGCGTAAATTCAGATCGATAGCTACTATTCTGTCCAAGACCTTCTTTTATTAGTATCTCGCTTCCGATGTTTGTCACATCTAGTAGGTTGTTTATTGCTCTTAATGATCTTTTCCTCACTCATCACGGGCTTGTCAGCAATTTGTTTGATCTCCAGGTAACAATGACATCCACGATATTTCACAACGAACAAGCGCATTATAGTATCGGCAAGATACAGTAAGCTATCGATGTCGTTTATAGCACGAAGAATCACTATTATCTCTATTGCTTCACTTTTAAGGACAAGCAAGGTGCTTCTTTGCTTTGTTTCCAGTCCCATTAGTGCTGTAATGCTTTTGCAGCTGTCGTAAAAGCTACCTAGATTTATTGACGTGAATGAGAGATCCTTACTTTCTGTTCTACCACCTTTTTCAAGAAGGCTCTAATATCGAGTGAGCTCACTAATGTACGCTGGCGTTGTCCATAGTACTGTATCGTTTTCAACAAGCAGCACTGGAGCTCGAGTGGTATTGTTTCTCAACAATGGCAATCTTGCTCCCGCGACGACAAGCAGCCAACCCATTGTTGTTGTAACTGACAACCCAAGACAGGATCCAAGCATCAACGATAACGCGCTCCGCAAATAAAGCACTGGCAAAGCATGATACACTTGGGAGATCTTAAAGTACGAACGGTGCGGCGGTGGTTCGCGCCATGTATACCTTTTAAATACGTTTACAGGCACGTGGCACCAAACAGCGGCTTCAATATCGTGTCGATGATCTTGTTCATTAGCGACAATAGAAACGATTGCGCGACGTCAAGAAACACACGGTGATAGTATCCCTTGCGGTTCAAATTGTCAACTGGAGGGTTGAGAAAGGTGTTGGTCATCGCTCTGAAGAACCTGTTCGACTTGTAGAAGTCAATATGAAACTCCGAAATTAGGTCCCAACCTAGGGCCAGCGTGTAGATCTTGGCCTCCTTAAAGTTTTTCAAGATCACCGAGGATAAGCCGGTAAAATTACCACCCGCGCCTAGCGACATGATGGTAGGAATCGTCAGGTTTTGACACGCAGACGTGGGGATTCCCGACGCGCATTGGTACATGACGGCTTTCATGTGAAGCACAAATTTTGGCTTGCGCACTGTGAATGCTACTGCCACATTGAAGCGTTTTGGCCTGCACTTGATCGGGTGCAGTAGATTGATCCAGCACAGCTGGTACCACTTGTGGTTAAGCTGAGCTACGTCAACCGTAAAGGTTCCCCTTACCGTGACGGTGCCGTTGAAGGTTGTGCCCAGCAGTAAAGTGCTGGAGCTCGTAACGTTCACCGGCATGGGCGCGATCGTCGTGATACCCGTCACGTTCAGCGTATCGATCGTGGGTGTTGTTTCAAATATATGACCGAGGAACGAGATGTTAAAAGTCGACATCGTGTAGTTCTTGATGATGAGCGGGTCACTCACGTAAGGTTTGAGTAGTGTCGGCGTAGTTTTGACAATGTTTATCAAGTTGTTCAGCGCAACGAAATCGTCCGTTGCAGTGTGGAAATCGGTGAGTACGCACGTGTTTTCTACTGTAAAACTCCCTGTGCTTTTACCCGTGGGTGTAGGCTTATTAGTTGATGTGGACTTGTCAGTGGGTGTGGGGCTTGTGGCTACAGGGCTTTCATTAAGGCTCACCTGAGTGGTCTCAACAAAGCTTTCATGAGAGCTCATCGGGGTTGACTCTACAGGGCTAATTATGGTAGCAGCTACACCGCCACCGTTCCCATGGAAGACAGCGCCAACAGCGACGACAATTGCAGCAAAGAATCTGGAAAACCTGATCATCCTGAGGAAGTGGCAAAATTGGAAGAGTTGAAGGAGGTTGTGCAGATCAAAGAGTGTGGGGCTAATCGCTTCCACCATTCACTCCTCCTCTTTGAGTAAGGCATTAATACTGAGTTGTACCCTAGCACAACAGAAATGGGGTGATAGTCGCGTGAGATCAGATTGTTCTCTGGCTCGCAATATTCTACCAGCGCAGACGCCTGGGAAGTCCGGGCTTTGTAGCTATACTCAGGACGTAGTACAGCCTAATCAAATGCTATTCTGACTCCGTAAATGTCGCGCTTGCACTCGAGCAGCCCAGAAGTCGTCACCAGAAGTTAGACAGACATGTACATGGTCGGTGTGCTCCAGTCTCAGCATCCTCGTGTTTATTCTCAGCTTCGTTGACGTGTCCTGCTCCATACGTTTAAGCGTTCACCAGCACGATGTTATAAAGACCAAAATGTTTTCTGACCTGTGACAATGATCTGCTTCGTTGTCAGCGTCGTTAGGCTCGTGATAGTATGCGAGTTGATCGCGGGTGCCACCTGAGGTGTAAATCGAGTAATGAAAAGTTCTGCTCTGTCAGGTCTGATTTTCAAAGAACAGAGGGTCGCTGATATATGACTGACTAACGATAGTGGTGTCTTAACGATGATCATAGTGTTGTTGAGCGCCTTCTAGTCCGGCGTAGCGGTTAGGAGGTTGGTAGTCACGCATGTGCCGGCCACGGATATACAGCTTTTCAGAAGCTGCAGCAGCAGCAAAACGGAAGAGCTTTTCCGGTTTGCTACTGCTTTCATTGTCGTAAATCCTGCTATGAAGCTGGCATGTGCTGAGGGGGCAAACTGAAAAGTGGCAACATCAGTGCTGTAGACTACAGCGCCAGCAGACATCAGCACCACGTCACTCAACACGCTTCCTGCTACATGTACCAGGTAGTCAATGGATCAGTTTAGATGATTTTTCAAGCGGAAGAATTGCAACTCTTCCGCTTGAAAAAGCTAAACCTCTTCGTGAGCTTTAGTCTCACGACGCCTCACGTCTGACTGCATGTACAATAAAGCGCGCTGGAGTTGCAGTATGAATGTACTCGTCGCTTGTAGTGACCTCAGCGACGCGTTCGTCATTACGGGGCTAAACACACCCATGCTATAGGTCCGCCCTCAATTCTCGAACCATTGTATGTCTACGAGATCTACTGGCATACATAAACTTCGCGGCAGCTCAATACCAATATTCCATTCTTCACGTGTGAGTTCTAAACTCAATTCTGATACGGACATGTTTGAACTTAGCCAGGTTTGAGCTTTCCTGTTGTCCACGTAAAGTATCATAGGCTCGCTGCATTTCATTCCTAGCTTTCCAAGAAGCTACCTTCGGAAATGCTACGCAGGACATTTCGCTTTGGCTGATACTCGACGGCTCGCTAATTACTTGCATAAGTACAGCACACGCAGACTTTTGATCCTTCTCAAAGAGAAGCAGCGCAGTATTAGTAGCCAAGTTGAAACAATTAGACGTGCAATATTACCAGCCTACTAGCGGCAAGAATGTCATTTACAAGGGTTCTGGAAGAAGCTCTGATTCACGTCTTATAAAACTAGGTGGCTTCCAAGCCCAGCTGCAAACGCAGGCTAAGGATTCGATTCTATTCTTGTCCATCATATTGAGCATTGAGCTCAGTATGAGCGACTGCAGTAGCTCTTCGTGTTCCATGGCATATTTCTTACAAAAAAAGTAACTAGACAATGTGAGATGGGGTGACCTCTCCAGCGGAAGATCAATCTCGGGGTCAATGATATCGAAAGCTCGGAGGATCTTCCTTTGCATGATACAGCAAGGACCAGATACCAGGCGATGCTTACACCCCTGGTCTTCGTAACAAAAGCACCATGCTGCAGCAAATGAGCACCAGCTTCGCGCTCAAGGGCCAACTAGGCAATACATCACAAACGTCGCATCGCAGTACTAGTCATGCACCTCTGGTCGTACACTTCTACTTCGTAGAACTTTCAGGATCCACCCCTCATTGCCAGGTCACCATCACCAGCAAAGGGCTCTGTGCAATTCATGCCTCAAAGTAATATTCCCACATCATCGCTCATCTTGCTTTTACCAGGCACAATTCCAAATCGTAAGGATTGCATGGAGTCTTCATTTACAGCTTCACCGCTCGATAGGCATGACCGGCATCCGGCAGTCATTCATATCCTCTGGGAAATCATAGTCTGCGTTTTGGCACAACTCTATAACCACGCGCATGCAAAGGTGTTATTGCAGGCAATGCTGCAGCCTAAAGCCGAGCTCTACATCATCAGCAAAAGAATGCTTTTTATAAAAGTCCACTTCTATTATTCCTGGATGTCTACTTTCCGGGCTCTTAAAACCTTGAAGAGAAGGCAGGGTACGTGTCTTGAGCAGTCTTGAGTTCCTTAACAAATTTAAGAATGCCTCAGGGAGCTTTGTCAATATACAATGGTTGGCTACGTCCAAAGTTACCCATCATCGACCACTGAACTGTAAGATCCTTTTGAACCACATCATCGAAAAAGACGAGCGTAGTTACTTATTCACCGATACCGTCATTGACAGGCCTTGAATCGCTCAATACCACTACTTCCGTCCTTTTTAGCTTTGTAAGGTAGACGTACAACATTCCAACACCATTTTTATCAAGTGTACTAAAATCCTCGATCCTTTTATTCTTCCTTTTTGTAGCGGGCTAAAAGTGTTACACGTACTCGTTAAGAATGTGGGCAGGTCTAAAAGGGTACGTAAAGTACTTAATGTAAGAGTGGAGTGAAGTAGTGGTGCACTTGTGCACGTAGAGGGAAGTAAAAGTAAAATATATCAAGCATTAACTACTCTCCTTCGCTAGCGCTTTAACATGTACGATAGAGTCAACTGCGACTACACCATGTCTAGTCTGTAGTCTTCGTCTATCCCGCTTCGCCACATCTGTTAAGATGTCACAACATTAGCCAATTCGGGTGCGGTCGCAACTTACCGGGCACAGGGTATAGCCCTTGCCTTCAACACCTTGCAACCTGTCAAAAAAAAACGATCGCTTCTAACACTCCTCCTCGACTGCATCCTGGATGGTCTTCAACTTGAACATCGTTCGCAGGTCTTCCATTCTTGGTGCCGGTAACGCCTTGGTCAACATGTCCACCATCATGTCCTCAGACTTAATAAATCTTGGTTTCACGACACCTTCACGCACATGTTTGATTATGAGCTTAAAACGGATGTTCACATGCTTCGCGCTTGAGGTACTCTTCTCGGACTCGAGTTGCTTGATTGCCGCTTGGTTGTCAACCCACATCGACATGGGATCGCTTATCTTCAGCTTCAATTCGCCGAGTAGTTCCCGTAGGCACGTACCGCTTGTGACGCAGAGATGAATTCCGCTTCCATCGTGCTCAACGATGCCCCGGACTGCTTCTTGCACGTCCACATCACGACGGCTCCGTCCATAGTGAGGACACACCCGGAGACTGACTTGCGATCAGACTTGTCGGCAGCGAAATCGGCATCGCTCCAACATTCGACCCGAACATCATTGGATGTAGGTCCGACACCATTGAGGTGCAACTTCAAGCCCTTCGATATCTTCAAGTATCTTGCAATACGTTTTGCGATCTTCCAGTCCTTTGTCGTAGGCTTGTGTGTCTGCCTAGTTGCCTTGTGAACAGCAAAGCAGATATCAGGACGCGTGCACCTTGCTATCCACAGCAGGCTCCCAACTAGCGACTGGAACGACTTCACACTTGGCTCTCCCTTTGCACCTTTCACAGGAAGGCATTCCACAGTGTCCTCGTCTTCTGCATTGCACTTGTCCCCGATTGGGGTCCTCACCCCATTAGCTGAATCCAGTCCGAACTCCTTCAACAGGAGGTCGATCATCACTTCTTAATCCAGAACGTATCCTGTCACGTCGTTCAAATCGATTCGTAAACCAAGAAACTTGTTGACGACGCCTAGGTCCTTGATGGACAGCGAGCTCATCTCCATGAAAAATTCATCCACGGCCCCTTGTTCAGTCTCTGTAACCAATAGGTAGTCCACGTAGACGCCAAATACCGTGCACGTCTCACCCTTGTACTTGTAGTACAGGCACATATCCGTGGTGCATTGCTGGAAACCACCTGACGTAGCTGTAAATCAAGTAATTTACTCCAGAGCCTTCCAGCCTGCTTGAGCCCGTACAGTGACTTCTTCAACAGGATTACCAGGTCACTTGATATTCGCACGCCGTGCGACTCAAGCTCTTGGTCACTTAAAACCATGCCCTTGGGCACCTTCATGTAGATGTCAAGGTGCTCCTCCTTTTCAGACTTGACGTAGGCATTGGGCACGTCGCCATGTCGGGCAGGCACGTTCCAACGCCTGGAGAGCACCAAAATCAACTTTACCGTTCCCAAATCCATGACGGAAGCAAACGTGAGGGTATAATCGACATTAAACACTTCTCGTTCCCACAGACCACCAAGCGAGTCTTGTACCTCTCCACGTACCGTTTGCATCAGTCTTGGTCTTATAGACCCACTTGTTGTGCAAGACGTGTGCACCTTTTGGTGGTAGTACAACCGTCCACACGCCGTTTGAATTCAGAGCATCCAACTCTTCAGTTATAGCAGTGGTCCATTTCTGGCGATCACCACTTCGGATGGCTTCACCATAATGCTTTGGATCTTGAGTGATGACTGCATTCACGACATCATGTCGTTCAGCAGGGCCTTCACCAACAACTTCCTTAGCACGTCTGCTCGTTGACCTTGTGCGGTGTCGCTCCCTAGTCCATCCGGACTTACGGCCACTTCGGGCTTTCGCCGCCCATTTCTTGACACTTGAAGGTACTTGAACCTTTGGTTGATCATCGTTCGGTATCTCCTTCTGATGTTCAATCCTTTCGGTGTACGAGTCGTCTTGACCGTTACGCCCATCCGACAGTGTTTCGATGTTGCGTACGTGCTGCGTTACCACGACCACCTTGTCCTTAGGGATGTACACTTTGT